GTGACTCAGTTTGGTCCTGAACTACATCTTGAGGTACACCCTTCGGCTCGGTTGGAGACACTTCTACCTGCACATGTACAAGTTGTCGACTCCCGTCCTTTGGCCCTATTGCAGACAGCTCTATCCGATGCAGGTCGTGTTCTTGCGCTTCCTCCTTTGGCCCAATTACAGATAATTCTATCTGCTCCTGTACTGGGATTGCGGCCGCTTTGTTTGGTCTGACAGCAATCAATCCTTTCTGCTCCTTCGCTGCTCGCGACACTGTCTGTTTTCGGCATTTGCAGCGGTGAGAAATGTTTAAAAAAGAGAACGCTTGAACTACAGCAGTTCGATAGGCGGGGTTTATGGCGCTATAGACCAGGGAATTGATAGAACTGTTGATCAGATCTAAGATGATTGCGCTTGAAGATAATTTAGCTAAATGTAGTCCCAATTTGCTGTCGGCAGTATGTAGAGCTACGTTCCGAATGATGAAGGAGGCGATTCGTAATAAATTTAATGTTAGAAACACAGCAGTGTTAATAACTAGCATACGGGCAACCTTGCCAACTGGCTTTGAATGTTGCTGTGAAGCAGGTGAAGTTTGATGACATAGCTTGATCACAATGTAAGTGTACATTGATACAGTGACTGTGGCAGTTGATGCATAAAATATTGGTAGCAGAACAAAGCATATCTTAACGAAAAGAAGTTGAGTTGTTGACTGAAGGTAGTTCATACCAATTATTATAACAACTCCAAAGACAACGGAAAGAACCCAGAGTCCTGAACATATTTTAGCAGCTCGGGTTTTACTGGCCGATGCCCTGAAAGTTATAGGGTGATGCACAGCTGCGAATCTTTCCACTGCTATGGCCGTTACAAAACAGTGAGAGGCTGCTGTCGATGTATCGGTAAGTACCCAACAAATAATCTGCGATAGCGTTGGGCTTCCTGTAAGAACCAAACTTGTGACATTGATCAGTGCACTTAGAAGGTTAATGGAGTCAGCAACTGCTAGATTAGACAAGTACACATTGATGTTTGTACGCATAGACTTCACTCGGACTATGACAAAGAGGAAGACGAAGTTCAAGATAAGACCTATTGGTGGAATGATTTTAGCCGATAAAGTTGCTGAATCTTTAGATTGCAGTGCCTCTAACCAATCGTCCCCTTCCACTGTAATTGCGTATTTTTCTCCCATGAATGTGCATTTATCTGACAGCGTGTGCTCTGTATCACATCCTACAGGTTTCTGGCATCAACTCGAAATACTTTCCACTTATATATGCCAGGGTCGCTCGTATCACTTAAAGAAAATGAAAACTGTTTAATGCAAACAATAGCCAACAGGATTTTCTCGTGGTTTTCTTCACGTGGAGTTTTTTTTACAACCAAGAATTTCACTTTTGATATGTTCTTGATTGTAAGAAAGTGGGCTATTCAATGCTTTCGGAAGCGCTAGTAATTTTGCTTAAACGAAAGGAAAATGCTATCACAGAGTCCTTGGAGTTGAAGTTTCTGTTTCGGGTGATCATTATGAAGGATGTCTTTGTTGTGTGAAAGCACAATAAGATAAATAATTATATCCAGGTTCCCTGACCTGTATGTGATGTTTACTGAGTTTCGTCTGCTTGTTGCGCTATTGATGGCATGTTGTCAGTTTGTCTTTTGGGGGATAAAAAGAAAAGATGAAACAGAAAGAAGCTATTTCATTTCAAGCTTTTTTTTTGGTGGTTTGGGTCCTTTGGATAAATGGACATATATGACCCTAAAGTGATTCGGCTGAATATGTACAGGGTGGTTAAAAAAAAGGACACCCACATTTGACAGCAATTTTCACCTATTTTGATAAATTAATTTTAACTGTCGATTAGTAGCTATTAAAGTACTGGCCTTTAAGCAAATGTGACGAAAAAAATCGTTGCATTTGCACATTTTGTTGTTGAGCTATACTAATTTGAACATTTGATGTGCGAAACCTGTTTGTCCACAGAGGTATGCATTCCTTTCGCTTGACTGAGCTCAGCTATCAGAGCTTTATTTGAAAGGGCATGACATTTGATTATTATGTTATGTAATGTTATACAACGATGAACTTAAGCCGACAGCTCATTGAGTAGATGATCTTAACGCTGACATGAATAATTGGACAGCTTCAATAAAAGTTATCAGGGCAAAATATATTTTGGTGGGAAGGTTTGTTCATTTTTATGAACTACTAAAACGTCCAATTTACATAGAATAACACGTGGACAAGACTGATTTTGGTGACTTGTATTCAAATTAGCATAATATCACTATTTTTGCGACTTTTACTAAGCTTTTTCACCATGCATGGTTAAAGGCCAATACTTTACTACTTTGTGAAAACATATTTAAAATAAGTTCATTAAGTAGGTGAAAATTGCTGTCAAACGTGGGTGTCCTTTTTTTTAACCACCCTGTATTCATGTGGGCCCAAACATTTACGCTAGTAATGCACATTTCATGCCGATGCTGTTGAATACACGTAAGAAATGCGTGGTGAACGAACAATTACACGTGACATGAATTGTGCGACCCGTCTTAATGTTGAAACGGTACTTTTATAAATGTTCAGAGTTCAGTAGCTACAGTAGGTCTATATGTAACCTACCAAGTTTGGCGTCTGTATTAAATTTCTTAAAGGCATGTTTTCTTCGAAATGATATTGATAGGAGCAGTGGGCTTTGAATCTGAAGCCGATCGACTGGACTGGTACATGCCACGTTTTGGCTTCCAGAATATGCCTCCACGGTATGTGTCCGTGTATATTGTTATTTCTTGTATATATTTCAATTGTCCTGTGCAGAATGGAAATAAATGTGAACTGAACTGAACTGCAGCTGACGATACGAAATGTATAGAAACGATGAATTGGTGAGAATGTTTCCTCTAGTGTCTTTGAGTCATGCGGTATTAAAGACGAATTGGACTGGTTGTTTCATGCGTAAGTCTATTGTCTGTATTCGCATGGTTTTTACTTTCTCAGGTTTTTGGAAAGTAGTAGTTAGCCTAATTTCTTCAACGGACGAGTCGATCCGGTGTCGTGCCAAAAACCGTCCGGTGCCAAATAGTGTCCGATGAGCATGCGCAGTAGGCGCCAGACGCTATTTGGCATGTAATACATGCCAAATAGTGTCCGGGCGCCGTCGATCGAGCGAGAACAAGGGCGTGCGGTACGTCCTGCCGGACAGTATTAAGCAGGAAAAATCGGACAGTATTTTGCAAGGGGGAAACGGACAATATTTGGCAGGGCGGGGAATCGGACAGTATTTGTTGGCAGGAAAAATCGGACAATATTCAGTGGCGGGGGAATCAGACAATATTTGGCAGGGGGAATCGGACAGTATTTAGCAGGAGAAATCGGACATTTTTTTCGCAGGCAAATTGGACACTATTTGGCAGGGGGAATCGGACACTGTTTAGCAGGACAAATCGGACAGTATTTGGCAGGAAAAATCGGACAATATTTGGCAGGAAAAATCGGACAGTATTAGGTGGGAGAAACCGTAAAATATAACGTTGGTTATAACGCCTACACACAGCACAGTACGTACTACACACACTTCACACGGCGTTAGGCTACGTACGTACTGCATGCCAAACAGGTGAACTGACGCGAAAAAAACACACAAACATTTAATGTTTAAACTATTAGGGAAACCAAGTCAAATAGTTAACAAGGAAAACGTTAAAACAGATTGTAAAAAGCAAATTCAGGTGAAAAGAGATATTTTCTATACGATGTATTGACAGCTCGACAAGGCAGGCAATAGGATGCACGCTAAGCGCGGACACTATTTGGCAAGCGTCCGTTAACAATGTGACGTCATAGACGCATGACCAATCAGATCGCATTATGCTAATTAGCGGACACTATTTGGCACCGGACGGTTTTTGGCACGACACCGGGTGAGCACCAGGCGCAGGCCTTATAGGGTTGTAGGCCAGTAAATCAGTCCGAACTTCGCCTACGCCGGCCAAATCACGATTTGCTTGCCCTCAAATTCTTCGCTATGAGCATATTGTGGGCCGTGAACTTGAGGGTTTGTAAAAAATATGGGTGGAAGCCGTGCACAGGAGTGTGAGCTTGTAGTTCCGTGCAATTTGCATGAAATTGGAGCCCTAAAAGCGCTCTGTTTGCAATGAAGTAAATGGCGATGGGCTTCAGGACCATTTTAGGGGTGATCATCTTCGGATGGAAATTTGATGAATGGAAAGAGAATGAAATTAGCTTTAATGTGATGTGTGTCTGGAATACCTTGGAGAGTTGTGAGTACATTTCCTGAATTTTTGAAGTCTGGCGGCACAGGGAAAGACAAACAACAAGGTTGACGCTGGAGGGCGCTCTTTTGGTGGGCGGTGCGCGGATGTCGATCTATAAGATCATTACCATCACAGTAGCATAAAATGGCACGACAGTAGAGCGCGTGATGAATATGCATGACTATGACGTCACTAGAAGCTCATGAGTAATATATCACGCACGGTACTGATAGATATACATGTAGATGCACACTGTATGTGCTGCATCCCACCGATGATATCACATTTAACAAGTCCTCTTTCTACTGTCGCCCCGCCACCCTCTAGTGTCGTCCCACTTACCGATGATATCACATTTAACAAGTCCTCTTTCTACTGTCGCGCCGCCTCCTCTAGTGTCGTCCCACTTGATGATCATCGGTAAGTGGGACGACACTAGAGGGTAGAAAGAGGACTTGTTATATCATCGGTAAGTGGGACGACACTAGAGGGTGGCGGCGCGACAGTAGAAAGAGGACTTGTTAAATGTGATATCATCGGTAAGTGGGACGACACTAGAGGGTGACGGCGCGACAGTAGAAAGAGTGACGTCATATCATGCATATTCATCACGCGCTCTACTGTCGTGCCATTTTATGCTACACAATCACACGTGTTGCCTGCGACGAACGTTTGACTTGAATTCGACGAGTTTTATAGAAGAATTTTTTTTATCAACTGATTTCAGAGTGAAGTTTGCCGTTAACGGATTCGGTTTCATATTTTCTTGTAGATTTATGTAGGACGTACTGCAGTGCAAGTTGAAGTTCAGGCGAGTTGCGGGGTGAGGTGACTGTTGTTGTGGTGCGCCTTGTGGGCAAGTGTTGCTGACGGCTACCGTCGCCGGCTGCAGGGACTTCCGTTCCGCACACTGTGTCATGTGTGTGGGGAGCGCCACATGCATGCCAAAATTCCTGAACAGTTGTGACTTGTGTTACCTGAATTAGAATTCTAAAAAAAATTCTACTTGATATTTGCTATGGTTGGCTATAACACCAGGAAAAATTGAACTTTGTAATCCTACCCCTAATACCGGTACGCTACTGTTTATCCAAATTCTAATAATTACTATCTGACTATGAAATAATTTAGCAGAGAGTGTCCAAAAATAGGTGAGGGGGGGGGGGGGGGCTGATGTCATCCGTTAAAAACATCTCTTCATTTGCACACCAGTTTTCATCGGTTGCTATGTATTCAGCACTCTAGACTTGAGAATTGAGTTTTAAGAACATAGATCTGGGAGCTATTTAATAAGTAAAGCCAATGGCGTAAAAAACTGGAAAAAATGTTGCAACCTGACGTCACTTTTCGAGTTCTTCATATATCATCTCAGTGAAGGGCATTCATTGCAAAATTGATGATAAGACATGAATCTGGGCTCAGAAACATTTCCAATTTTGTTAGGAAATTTAGAACATTTTCTTGACTCTCCATAGACTTTGTACAATTGCGAAAGTGGCGTCAGGTTGCAACACTTTTTCCAAAAAATTCCCGGATGTCCGCACCTACCTATTTATTGACTGTATTTTTTCTCGAGGTCATGCACCATTGACCTTTTGATTTTTCGTGGTTATTGGTAATAGTAAGCCTTTAGCTTTCATAATGAAAAATCAGTGAAAGAAAAATCTGCAAATGCACTGATGCATGCCATCAGTGCTTTATAGGCAGTGATGTGTGGCTTTAAAGGGAATATACATCATTTGCTTTTGCTGTAATTTTCAGAAATGGATGGGATTGGAAATATATAGCAAATATAGTTACACTGACTTTTTTGAGGTTTTGGGTTCGAAAATGCTATAAAAACCAAGAAAAACAATCATTTTCATGTAGTCTGGTTCCCTGACTCCATATAAGAAGAAACAGAGCAGTTTACATACATTGGGGAATTGTAAGATCAGGGAACCAGTCTAGCTGGCTCGTACCCGTTCGTAGGTTTGTAATCGATTGCAAACAAGTGCGATGGTCAATTGGGGCCAGTATTTGAAAAAAAGCCAGTTGTTTCCAACGCTGATCGGCCGATCAGCGTTGGAAATTGATACAAAAATACCACTTTTCTTGAAAATGACAGTATACCAGGTGCCATGATTTTACAGGATCATCGCTATACACTGTCATTCACTAACAGTCCAGCAAGGTATTTCAAAATGATTTGGTAGTTTTATTGTTTGATGTTTGCAAATGTTGTATTTTCCCTTTAATACAATACATTTCATGGGGCTATAGAATAGGGCCTAAACCAGGCATGGTTGCAGTTTGCACAAATGGAAGGACCTAGCTTAATCCTGGCTTGGATAGTGGTCGTGAGTGTGCTGCTGCCAATAGCCGAAAGCAAAGCCAATGAGGGACTTGGGAGCCAAAGGGAAAGTGTTGCGAAGTGTCAACAGAGTCTTGATGAACAAGGAGTTGAAGGTAGGCCTACAGTACTTCAGTTTTAATCAATTTGGACTGATCGTGATAGTTCTGTAATAGTGGCAATATACATAGCCACGCTCCATTCATGTCTCTGAACTTTAAAAATGTCTAACGTTCGTGTTGATGCGTGCTCCTTTTTCCCCCCGCAATTTCTTTGGAATGACTGATCCTATGCCACTGGCAGATCTTGGGTGTAACTAGTCCAAAAATTTGGAACTCTCAATACTGTGTACGAGCGTCCCAAAACTTAAGGTATTGAAAACATGCAACACAAGAAAATAGACTGGCACATGAAACAACCAGTCCAACAACTCTTCAGTGCTGCATCAATCAACTGTCGGCTGACTGTGCCAAAAGAAATATCTAGGATGTCGGGTACTTGGTCACTATTTCTACACATTACTCCTTAGTCAGGCACCAGACTAGGCTGAATGAAGAAGTCAGTCTTGTCAAACAGTTGGACCATGGATGGACATGTAGAAGTCTAGGCTTTAGCCTAATTTTGAAATCACTTGACTTCCCTCTTTTGTGCAATTAGCCACTGCCAAATACTGAAGGAAAGTCTCCTTTAAAACTTGGTTGGTGAAATACCGAGGAACTTTTCTTTTGCCCAGTAACAGTTTTGGAGAAATTTGCTGGCTAAAGAGTGAGTAAAGTTGGCCTGATCTTCTTTTGCTTCGTTTTGAGCACATAAGGTCCGAGGGATGTTAAACTACTGAACATATAGTGCTCTTTAAATTTCAGGACTAAATGGCGGTCTCCAACACGGATTTTGAACACGTCGAAAGTCCAGATATTATGCGCCTAGCAGAGTTGTAATGACTCGAGTCAATGACTCGACTCGAGTCCGACTCGAGTCACAATTTTTGGTGACTCGACTCGACTCGAGTCCCTAAGGGTAAATGACTCGACTCGAGTCCCTCATTAGAATGACTCGACTCGACTCGAGGAAGGCTAATGAGACTCGAAACCCAAAAATAAAAGCAAAACTTTGCGAAAAATATTTGCAGTGACTTACGCCGGTGCCGGTTTTTGTTCATGTCACGTTAGAATGTTCGCGAATATTGTATACATGTATACATACGTGGTTTGATCAGTGTCCCCATTAGTTGAATGACGATCAGCTGGCACCCCTTTTTATTTTCATTAAGAGTCAAATGTGGTGTCGCCACCTGTAGTACTCGACCTCCTTGACCTAATGACTCGACTCGACTCGAGTCACAAAAATCAGTGTCTCGTTTGGGGCTAGATCAAATGTCACATGTAGTCACATTTTGTCATGATCGTTCGTGTGTGTTCACATTCAAGGATCTTGCCGATCTTCTGTACCGAACTCTCAGGGCAGCTCGGACGACCTTTCCCAGAATGCACTGCAGCAAGGTCTCATACCAGCGCTGCAGGATCGTCCCATGCAGCTAGTCCGACCCGACCCGACGCACAGGAAGATGGAACTTGTCGAGGAAAGCATCCAGGTGATAATCAGTAGGACAATATGGCTTGGGGCAATTTGGGGCAAATTTGACAGGTTTGTTTGTGAATTAAAGTCATTTTAAAGATGGTGGTGTATGCAGTGCCTGCCTTTGTGGCGATATGTCACTTAATAAAAAAAATAATTGGATTTCTTTTTTTTGGGGGGGGGGGGGCTCGGCCCCTGTTACACACCCCCCCCCACACCCCCCGATCCGCCCTTGACCACTACCACTAGCCGCATGCATACCGTCCCAGGGTTACGTGTAAACCATACGGTATAGACCATTATCATGTTGCAGCCAGCTTGATTTTTTCCCATTCAAATCAACGTAACAAAAGCGAAGCTAGCTGGTAGGGAAAATAGTCTGGTTCCTTTTTGCACAAAAAAAACGTCATTCAGTGCTGTTGTTGGATACAGGGAACATGACTGAAATGGTGGCAGCATGGTAAAGGTGCATTACATGGAAACGATTCCTGCATCCTCAGCCCCAATATGCACATATAGGTTACTTTTGGGATAACTGCAAATGATCCTCAATATTATCTGTTTTTTAGTCACTGCTTCGGTTGACAAACCCTGTAGCTGTCGTGGCTGTCGTCGGGAAGTATCATTCAGGCAAGTCCTTTCTCCTGAATCAACTGATGGGAAAACAAGGAAACTTTGGCTTCACCGTCGGGCCGAGCCTACGCCCGCAGACCATGGGAATATGGATGTGGGGAATGGTGTGTAACTTTTTTGCAAATTGCTGTGTGTTTAGAATTCCAAAACTAATGTTCCTCTCGGATCCATCTGCGATTTGAAAATCACAGGTGTGTAAAAAAAAGTCACACACCTGGATTTTTCTAGACTTGTGATTTTTCTAGGCGTGTGATTTTTCTAGGTGTGTGAATGTTTACCGCTATGCAAGTTTCCACGCAACGATCGACAAATAAGAAATCAACTTTTAAGGTCAGCTAAATTAGGCTATTAGCATAATGAGCACCACCCCAAAAACCTTTCGCAGACGATTGGACCCAGGCACTCGTCTGGATCCAAATGATTTGCATAAAATAGTGGCCGCATATATAGCGAGGATATGCCGAAGATCATTTACCACGTACAGACAAATAACGATAAACGCCTTGACCAAGGCTATTCCCAAGCTTAACTTCCATTTGATTCATAATCGTCGACCTTGCGCCATTCTGAAGCAATATTTGAAGCAAATATATTTCAAGATTTATTCATTGTTTTTTTTTTTTAAAGGTGACTGCTGATTGGTTAAACTCTTTCTTTGTCATTCACAATTTTCTATTATTTCAGCCAACCACAATGACTCTTTCATCAGGAACAGACGTATCTGTTATCTTCCTCGATACTGAAGGTAAAAGTTGGTTAACAAATCAAGAGCTATTTCCAACACACCGTGTATCTGTTTATCAAAAAAAGTGAAACATTTCCACGTTGATCAAACTTTAAAGAACAAAAATGTTTAACAACTGTTTATAAACTTAATATCTTTCTAGTGGTTAGGGTTTGTGACTCATGATCAGAGGGTCAGGGGTTCAAATCCTGCTGCTGGCCACATGTTGTGTCCTTGAGCAAGCCATTTTACCCCATTTACCTCTCTCGAGTCTACACCTAGGGGTACAAATGGGTACCGGTATTAGCTGGGGAGTAACCTGCGATGGCCTGGCATCCCATCCAGGGGGAACAGAAGTATTTTCAGTCGTTTCATGCCACGGAAACTGGAGATAAATGTCATCCCGATGAACTATAAGGGCTGGCAACAGACTTAATTCTCATGTGCTTAAGTTTTGGATTTTATTTGTTCAGGTTTTGCTGCCAACAATGTGTCGGAGAGTTATGATGCTAAAGTCTTTGCCGTCGCTGCTTTGCTGAGTTCCTACCTGATCTACAACTCGGTCAAGGTCATCGACCAGGCCGACATGGACTACCTGGAGCTGCTGTCGAGGAGAACGCAGGTGTGCGATCTGTGCATGAACTGTAGGGGGCGCTGTGGGACCCACTTACAAGAGCCAAAGAAAGACACACATTGCAGGCATACCTGTTTGAGATTATGAATGTCAAGGATCGTCCATGCAGTCATTTTTCTTTTAAAATTACAACGAAGTAAACACAAACCTTCCGTGTCTGCTCTTTAATGAAACTCTGAGCCCCTGCAGAGTCTAGTCACCTCCCTTTTTCTTTGCTACCGTTTGCAGTTCACATGCAGGGGAAGCACTCAAGTATGGAATTTCACGGGCACCTATGAAAGCACCTATGAAATCACCGTAACATTGTGCAGAATTTCAAAGGCACATATGGAATTTCATATGCACCTATGGAATTTCACAGGCACCTATGAAAGCAGCTATGGAATTCCACACATGTCCTGATCACCTATGGAAGCACCTGTGGAATTTCACACGCACCTATACAGAAGGATTTATGACATTTCACATGCACATATAGAAACACCTAATTGTGGAAATATGCACTTATGGAAGCACATGTATGGAATTTCACATGCACCTATGAGGCACATATGGAGTTTCACATAAACTTATATGGTAGCACCTGTGGAGTTTACATGCACCTTTGGAAGCACCTGGGGAAGCACCTATGAAATTTCAAATGCACCTATTTTTGGAGCACCTATGGAATTTCACATGCGCCTATTTTGGGAGCATGCACCTTTGGAAGCACCTGGGGAATTTTGCATGCACCTATGGGAAGCGCCTATGAAATTTCACATGCACCTATTTTGGGAGCACCTATGGAATTTCACATGTGCCTATTTTGGGAGCACCTACGGATGTGTTTTAATGCCAACTGTAGATTTTAACGCAGCCTTTTAGCTTGACTATCAAAAATATGAACACAGTTTCAAAGGTTTTCTTCAATTGTTTTTCAGTTGTTTGCATTGAGATCCCAACTATCCAGAGCCAAGTGGGCCCAGGATTTCAACCACGATCTGCTGAGTTTCCCGCCGCTTCTGTGGGTGAGTGCAGATCGCTTGCTCAAAATTCCTCAAAATATGTCCGTCGTATTTGCCACGAACTGTTTGAGTTATTTTGACATAATTAATTTGCAAGAGGATACATAAGCTATATGTTTTTTAATAAAAACTTTGCAGTAGCACCGAGTGTTTTGTGCATGTCTGTTTTTGAGTTGTTTGCGGTTGTGACTAAAACTGGTTTCAGTTTGTTTTTCAGGAGAACACAAACATTGTGTCCTGAAGATCGGGGAGGGGGATGGGGAGAATATGACCACAAAAATTATTGACCACAAACAATTTTCCCAAAATTTCATCATTGGGACAATACCTGACACTCGGTGGGGCTCATCATCAAGACGGCCCCTTTTGCCAACACTGTTGAGGGTGCAGACCTGTAAATCGACCCCCGTAGACCTTCCAAAAATTATATAAAATACTCGCAACTCTCCAAGGTGTTTGAGACACCCATAAAATTAAAGCTTATTTCATCATCTGTCATGTTCTGTTCATTTTTTTTTGGTGGTAATCCTTTGACTTTTGGGAGGAAATTCCATCCAAAGATAATCACCCCTAAAAGTAGTCCTATGGCCCATTGCCATTTTGAAAAATGATGCCTGCGCTCCATTGCAAAATAGAGCAATTTAATTTTAGGGCCCAATTTTATCCGAATTTCACTGAAGTACGAGCTCAAACTCCTGTGCATGGCTTCCACCCACTTTTTTACAAACCTAAGTTCAAGTTCATGGTCAACAAATACTCCAGTAGCAAAGAAATTGAGGACATACAAATTTCTGATTTGTCTGCGTTTGCAATTCTGGGCCTATTTACAGGTCCGCACCCTTTGAGCAAGTTGAAGCAAGTCGACTTGTGGTTAATTTGTGAAATAACTTACTCCAGTGCACAAATACTAATAGCAACGCGCGAACACCTCTAGTCAAATGACGGTCATCACAAAACTTATTGGTCCTGGCTCTTAGTTGTGCTGTATGATGTGCACGGCTATTGGAAGAGGGCCCCCTGGTCGGGTTCCAAAAGTCAACTAGAGCAGTCCAACCATCCTGCGTTTGAGCGAAGTTAGTCGAACTATGGTTCGCATCCGAACTTGATCCTTGTTAAATGGATGGGACTGGTGCCATCTGACAATAGGTGGCGCTGTTCAAGGGGACTTCTTTTGTTAACAGTTTACACATTTTGGTCATGAAGAATACCCCTATAATGTCCCCTACTTGATGCAAAAGGATTTACTGTGACCTTTAGGTTGTGCAGGATTTCGTCCAGGTCACGGGCAACGACGAGCCGACGCCTTCAGAGTGGCTTCACGAGATGATGAAATCGTCCACCTGGGAGAACGAGAACCATCGCATCAGCCTGCTAGACATCTTCCAAGACGTTGACTGCCACACCTTGTTCTTCCCTGCCACCAAGAAAGAGATCTTACAAGATCTATCCCTGGTAAGAAATAATAGTGCTTTTTTTGAATATTTAATTTTTGATTAAAGATTTTATTTTTAGTTTCATCGCATAAAGTAGATTCCTTTTCTAAATTGTTATTTTTATAGCAATGCAAAAGTTTGTCACATTATGAATGAGACATTGACAACAAAAATCGGCAAATGTTCAATTTTACATTACAAATTTGAAGTAGGCATGCAGTCAGCAATGGGCCACTGACTCCGACTTGAAATTTGACATTGAGCTTAAAAAAAATTAGCTAAAATTCTTCACAAAGGCTCCCAAATCAAAGCGATTGTCGACAAAATTGTGGTATGTGCAAATATACGAAAGCTATGCCTTTTTGTTCATCTGGTGCCATTTATCAAACTGAACCATTTCACTACATGACCAAATGGCACTCCATACTTTGTGCGTGGATACTGCTGAAGCACTTTTCTCAAGTTTTTGATATGGTAACACTGTGAATAAACTAGAACGATCCTAAAACACTCTTTCAGCTGGTATATGGTTGATGTATGGGAGGCCAAACATATCAACGTGCCGCCTTTCTGAAAAGTACTATCTGTGTTGAGGGTGTTCTGTGTGTGGTTTCCTGGTCGCCTAAAGTCGCCTATGGTAAGGAAAGGGTTAAGACTGCACTACCGCACTATTATTCCCTTATTTTCAGGCACGTGAAGAAGACCTCACTGCAGAATATAAGATTGAGAGGAACCGGCTGATACAAACCCTTAGACAAGGAATCATCCCCAAAGAGAAAAATGGTATGGTCCAATTAAATATAATAGTATAGTCCAGTACAGAATAAGCCAATCAAAAATTGACTATGCAAAGTGAGGCAAGAAATCATCTCCCACAGAGAAAAATGGTGCAATCCAATTAAGTATAATGGAACAGTCCAATACAGAATAAGCCAATCAAAAATTGACACTGCAAAGTGAGACAAGGAATCATCCCCAAAGAGGAAAGTGGTATGGTCCATCAAATATAATGGTACAGTCCAAATACAGAATAAGCCAATCATAACTCTGCAAAGTGAGCTTCAGCGTAATTATGTTAATGAATTGCAGAAAGCATTATTTCTGTAAAGGAGTTAGTAACAAGAATATTGCATATTGTTACCTGAGATAAAATTATGATAATTTAATATTCAAATCCAGGTCGACCAATCACAGGAGCCGAACTGGCATCGCTGATTGAAGTCTTGGTGACGGCAGCCAATGAGGGCTCGTTGTCTCAGGTAAATGATACTTCTGTGTTTTGATGAAAAATCTACCTTTTCAGTTCTGATTTTTGAGGTGAAGAAGCCATTTCCAATGTTGTTAAAATGGAGAAAATATTTCTTTTGTGTGATTGCAAGAAAGATTTTTTTTGGAAAACTAAACAAAATGACTGCTGAAGGATCATGTAATCATGTTTTAGTTGATTTCCTCTGATCCCACAAATTCTGGCATTCAACATTTTGGCTTAGAAGCGCCACAAAATTGCACCTAGTTCTTAAAAGGCATAATTAATTAATTAATTAATTAGATCATTTGCATTTATCCCAAAAGTAACCTACGAATTGTTATCAAAAGCTTACATGGAATTAAAGATCGTACTGGTACTAAACACCCTGTGAAACTATTCCAGCTGGCTGGCTGTCATTTAGAAGAAACCGTGCAAGAAATTTAGGAGATTTGCCACGATCAGTCAATTTACTTTTTTTGGAAGTAATATAATACAGAGTGCTATAGACAAACTCGTGTTTCATGATCAAGTAGTTGTGCATTGTTTTTCACTGTTTTCTTAAAAACTGTAATATCCACTGAGCTGAAACTTCAACAGGTTAAATTTTGAAGATTCTTCTTTGGATTTTGAGTGGTGCTGTTATTGGAAACAAACAGCTTGAAAAGCAAACGATCTTATATTCCTTTAAAAACCACGAGAGTCATTTTTTTTCATCCCAGATTCCAAGTCGGTGGTCGGCGTTCATCCAGAGCATGGAGCAGTCGGCAGTTCAGGATTGCCTGAAATTTTACGAGACAGAGATGATGGTGGTTCATCAGCAGTACGAGATGGGACCCATTGACGAACAAGAATTACAGGTTTGTAGCTTGAAATCTCTGTGAAAATACTTTAACAAAAAAGTTTACTTTTACAGATTGTGATTGAAAGCACTGATTTGTGTTTTAATATTTTTTTCAGCACTGGCATGAGACTGCAGCCAGTAAAACTGAAAAGTTGCTCCAGCAGGTGCTGTTTGGGTGAGTTTCCCCACGGACCCGCCCCTGCCTAGACCCTGCCTTAACCCCACATTAACCTTACCTGGACCCCACCCAGACCCAACCCGAAGCCTAACCCGAAGCCCACCCATACCCCACACTATTGAACCCCCAAGCTTCGTCCAGGCCCACTTGACCTCTGGCTGAACTCCATCCTACCCCATGCAAACCTCACTCTAACCCCACTGTAACCCCAACCAAACCTGACTTACCCGCTCGAATTCTACTGGGACTCCACCCAGCCCGACCCAAAATGACCCATCTAAAATCTGCTCAATTTCTACCGAACACCACCTAACCTCACCCAAGCCCGACACTATTACCCTGCCCAAACTCTGCCCGACCCCACCCAAATCCCGCACTAACCCTGCCCAAACTCCGCCTAAACTCTGCCCAAACTCTACCCAAACTCTGCCTGAACTGTGCCCGAACTCCGCCCGAACTGTGTTGTCTGATCTCTGCCTGAATTCCACCCTAACTCCGCCCGATCCTCGTCAAATGCCAACCTTGATCCCAGCCCCCCCCCCCTAAAAAACACACACTATAGAGAGCTTGTGATAAAATAATTTACGTTTTTTGCCAGACAACAAGACAAAATTGCCTGGTTCCCTGTCCCTCCATTTTTATTTGAGATTTCAAAAGGTAGGGCGGGAACCAGTCTCTGACCATGCACACTGGTTCACATGCACTATTATCCCACATCAAGTATCACCAGATACCAGGCAAGTGTTGCATGGGGTCCATTTTTCTTTTTTTCTCGTCGATATTTCAGATTGGATGATGTACTGGTCGGTGCCGCTCAGGAATTAAGGAGCCAGATTAAAGAGAAGTATCACCGCACAGTGGACATGAATGAAAAGAAAATCAAGCTAAGATGCAGCGAAATTCAACACAGAACAGAGGTGAGTCGAGGGCAGCATTGTTGAATCTCATCAAGTGCTTGCTGTCTAAAGCCATTCCCGTATTTGACTGGGGGAGTGGCCTAGTGGTTAGGGTTCGTTACTCATGATCAGAGGGTCCGGGGTTTAAATCCAGCTGCTGGCCATATGTTGTGTCCTTGGGCAAGCCACTTGACCCCAACTTGCCTCTTTCCACCCAGGAGTATAAATTGGTACTGGCATTAGCTGGGGAGTAATCTCTAATTGGTCATTCTGTTCATTAAAAGTGTGATCGTCTTAAAAAGTATGGTTCATACTTTCAAAATCTGAGAGATCTGGGTAGATATGTCTCTTCACTCCTCTTTAACAGGCGAAAGTTTGGAAGAAGCACAATTTTTTTTCGTGGTGAATTTACCCTGTTAAGCAAGATGGCCATTGAGCAAATGTCTGCAAATTTTTCTTATGTGTTTCATGCGGAGAAAACCGGAGATAAACGCCAGCTCAATGGGCTGTATTGGCTCTTGACAGGCTTTACTTTAAATATTCCTCGTCGCGTCAGTGCAACAAGGTCGTAACTCCATTCTGCAACAAAGTCGTATCTCGCGCGAATACGCCCCATGCAACAAGGTCGTATCTCGACGTCCATTGACTTTGTGTGCATCCGGGTTATATAACGTGAGATACGATCTTTTGACATTCTGAAACTCACCTGTCACGTACGGCAAATTTTAGGAGATATGACCTTGTTGCACGGACACAACGACATGTAGTTAGAAGCCAAAACAATATATGTGCCATGGGAAAAATGGCTTTTTATATTTTGATTAAATTGATGGGGATTCGAACCACCCACAGTTAGAAGGCGAGAGCAAGCTCGGCGAGCTGCCCTTACCCATGAAGACTTCCCAACTCAAGTCCAGCTACGCAGACATCAAGACAGACTGCATTGCCAGCTACAGCAGAACTCTAGAACGACTGCAAAGATCGGCACCCTTCCAAAAATTCCTGGACCAGTTAAAGGTAACATTTCTGCACTGATTTAAAGTTGCTTTTATCATGCTCTTCAACACATTTGATTTTTTTTTTCCATTAATAAATTTTCAACTTGTACGTTTTCTTTCAACTAAAATATCCTCCCTTTTTCCTTTATTTTGGGTGTGTACAACGGCCTCCGGGGAAAAAAAGTTTTTTTTCTTGGACACAAACAGTCCACTTTGTAAACAGACGATCCCGGTCCGTAATTATCAATACCTCTTGTTGGATAGGAACTAGCCTACCCTGCGCAGTGCTCTCCAACTTCAAAAATTAAAGGGCGGTGCGCCGTCAAAAGCGGAGGGGGAGGGCGCTATAATTATGTTAGGGGCGCTATTTGCAGTCCGATACATTTCTTTATGCTAGGGGGTGCTATTTGCAGATGAACATGTAATTTATGTACGGATAACAGCTTTAGGCCATTTCTAACACAGTAACACTAACAATTAAGTACAATACTGGCTTTTTTAACACATCAGTGATCAGGGACTCTGAGGCAGTTTGGCCTTGAGACTTTTGACCTGATTGATTGCTACAATTGCTTGTCAGTTTGACAAGTGTTGCATGTGATTGCTTTTGGCAGTGTTTCTGGCCAAAATATACCCTAGAGGGTAAGGGTAGTGGCACTTGTTTGTCTTTTTTTATTATTTTTTCCTTTTTGTTAAAGCATGGCGGGCAACTTTTTAAGCTTGGCGGCAGCTTTTGAAGCTTGGCGGGTGCCTCAGAAAGCTTGGCGGGGCACCAGGTTATTTTTACAGGTTGGAGAACACTGCCTGTAAGAACGGAATTATTGTCTGGCAGCCAATAATTTGAAATTATTATGTTATAATTCAATTTACTAAACATACATGGGCCGATTTTTTTTTCCGGTCGATGTCTCATTCGGAAGTGAATAATTTTTGTATTGATAGAAAAATAGCAATTTAGAAAAGAAAACTATTTTTCGGGATGAAATTTGTAAAACAGCATAGGGAATGCAGCTTTAATGAGAACACACAATTGTTCAGCAAATAGTTTGTATAAAGTCGCACCACGAACCGTTTTATCAGGATTTTTGGCCAAGTTGACTGTTTGTTAACGTTTTTATTTCATCAAAGTGCTCATCCTTACAAAGTTTCATTCCAATTTGAGTTCTAATTGACTATTAGTAAAGAATGCTCATTGGACTGTGCTGCGTATCTCTAAAAAATCAAAGACGTTTCGTGTCGCGATACGCCGTTTGCGCGCTAATTCCAATAGTGAAGTGACGTAACTAATCAGCACCATCACATGAAGGGTGTGAATTCATCGTTTCAAGAACCGTCGAACAATGAACAACGACAGCTGACTTCACTCTGCTATACTCTATTTCATGGAGATCGTATTAAAGCAGTAAGCACAGCAAAATGCATGCGTAACTCAGAGAAACAATTTTCTTTAATCAGTGACATAACGATAAAAGATTTCCATGCGCGTGCAACCGTTAGCACATCCACGCCATGAAATAGTTGTTAAGTTTAGCACAATTTCCTGCCATAGTTAACATTTTTTTCTGCTAACTGTTATTAGCAGTGCTATGAAATTGGCCTCGGATGCGTGGAAAGACTTCCAGTGCAACAGTTTGACTAGGCTTGCTTTGCTTTTGTCTTTGTATCTTTATTGCAGACATCTTTGGACAACATCCGTGACTCGTTTCTTCTGAAGAACGCCCAGCTTCTTGAGAGCGTGCTAGACCAAGCTAACCAAAAGGCTCTTGGTAAGGGCGTCCCTTCTATGGTTCTTGTATTTATTACCAGTTCCACCCGTATAGATTGCTAAATAAATGATGCCAAGTGCGTATTGTCTGTTGTGTTTGTTTAAATTGCAATGAGATTATCACAAGAGTAGATATCACCGAACTAACCAATAAAGCCATCTCTGGCAAGATGTAGTTAACTTACATTATATCTGCACCATGCACCTCGTTTACCGTACATTTTGGCTGTAGTGGCAGCGTGGCATAACAGTATAAGGTAAACCATACACACCCGACATGATGAGAGGCGACACTCTCGCTTGTCTGGGATTGCATTGGTTGCTATGCGTCCTGATTTTTAAATAGCAAAGAGCCTGATTTCCTAAATGTGATATTCTTTTTTTTGTTCATTAATTATGTTTGTTGCACTAAATAGGCCTAGGCCTTTTTTGTTATTATTTATTATATATACAATAGGCCACTGCTCACACTTAAGGCAGTTCGGTATCTCAATGAAGTTGTGAAGGTCAAAGGTCATTCAGGATAAAATCACCAACGCGATGTTACGCGAACGCCCGTTCTGCTGGTAATTAACGTGCGCCCGTCTCCTTGCGCATTCACGCGCCTTTGTCTCCTTGCGCATTCACGCGCCTTTGTCTCCTTGCGCATTCACGTGCCTTCGATGAGCTTTGTTTATCTCGAATGACCTGTGATGTATATCATGGCATAGTCCTGATTTGAAAACTCATAGGCGAGTGGGAAAAAGGCACACCTGGATTTTTCTAGGCGTGTGATTTTTCTAGGCGTGTGATTTTTCTAGGCGTGTGATTTTTCTAGGCGTGTGATTTTTCTAGGCGTGTGATTTTTCTAGGCGTGTGATTTTTCTAGGCGTGTGATTTTTCTAGGCGTGTGATTTTTCTAGGCGTGTGATTTTTCTAGGCGGGTGATTTTTCTAGGCGTGTGATTTTTCTAGGCGTGTGATTTTTCTAGGTGTGTGATTTTTCTAGGCGTGTGATTTTTCTAGGCGTGTGATTCTGTGGTCCAAACTGGGACTGAACAATCTGATTTTCTTTTTTATAATTAATAATAACTTATCTTGGTTTACAGTAAGGCCATTTCAAGAGCTCACAGAAGTGTAATTATGCCGTAAATGTATGTCGAGGTGTGCAGTACAGAGGGACTCAGGCGTGCGATTATTCGCACTTCTCGGGAAGCTTTTAGGCGTGCGATGGCGTGGGGGTGCGATCGCACGCCTCAAATCTTAGAAGGACTGATTGTGCTCATGCGCACTTGAAATACGGAACCGGCTTATATTTTTGCATTAGTTCAGATTGTTGATGAATTCCCGTAATTTAAAAAACAAAATTATGCAGAGGAATTTGACAGTGGAATGCAGAACACTCACCAAGAGCCTCGCAGCCCGAAGACCATGAGCCGATTGAGCGAGGGCGCCAGACAGAAAGCGCTGAATCTCTTCACTCAAGAGGCGACTGTGGCCGCAGAGGAGAGTTCTTACAATGCCCACCTAGCTTTGCTGAAGGTAGGTTCAAGCAACTGTACTACATTATATTACACTGTGTTTATTCCACTGATCTATGTATACTGACTTGATAGTCTACAGAGAACCACAGAGTGAAGCCTTTGGAAGCCATATTGGGGAGACTGGTTGGTGTTCTATAAAGGACAACATAGCCGTCGTAGATCTGTTCCCAAACGTGATTCACTTTTGTAACATCGTAGTTCACCTTTTGTCCGCTACAGTTTACAGTGTTACAAACAACGTGGTTTCCGTTTTGAACGTCGCAGTTTACTTTTTGCGATGTTTGCAAATCACGGTGGAAATTGTCCTTTTTAGAACATCGTAATATGTGTCCGTGAACAAAGTGTGCGTCAAAGCTTGATAAAGCATGGGTTGTATGAACGCGTCGAACGTTCGTTTATCAGTGGGCACGTGTGAAGACGGGGGTGAACTGGTCAAAAAGAGACACAACTTAATGTATGGCGTAATGGACATACACTATCCAGTCAGTATATAGTGACCAGTGGTTTATTCATTGTTCATAAATACCTAAGACAGTTCACGCATTCCTATTGGTCGAGAGCCCGTCACGTGGCCGGTCTTAAACGGATGATAAAGACATGGCTAGCTGGTCTTAAACACTATTCCAGTGTCACAATAAAATGTGGACTCCTAAAAATCCAGTGCCTCTTATCGTTTCATTGGTTGAACGTTCACAATCCTCACGTAGGCATGCGCAACACTACCAGGGAGTCAAAATTTTATAGTTCTAAATTCAAAACGCAACGCGCCAGGTGCGTTCTGCGCGACATCGCGCAGAACATGATACGCGCGCGTCAATCTCCATAAAAGGGTTGTTTACATCTTACTCGCCAGCTGAACACTCCATTATTTTGCAAGAGGGATGTATCAAAATTCATAAAGTGAATTTGTTGAACCAAATCGGGATGTTTTGAACGAATTATATGATTTTTTTTTACCGAAAAGGTATTTATGAATGGGAATAAATATGTGCTCCGTCGATATTTATCACTCTGTTTAAGACCACTTAGAGTCTGGGTGCTGATAATTACCCTCGCCTCCGGCTCGGGTAATTATCAGCACCCAGACTCTAAGTGGTCTTAAACAGAGTGATAAATACCTCTGGAGCACACATTTATTCCCTTAATGAACCATATAGTGCTTGGGCTGTTTGGTGCTGTACAGGGAGTAATAGGCAGAGCAGTTTCAGGCGATACAGTGACTAAATGGTTTAGTCTTTCTGTTGTGCTTGAAGCGAAAGTCCATTGCTTTTCTCAAGTGGCCACCATATTTATCCTTTCACAAGCGTAGTTCGGAAGTATTCGCTTTAGCAATAACTTTGTGGCTTGCAATATGTACAGTAAAAATGTGGCAGTGCTTTTTTCATTTTTCGCGATTCGTTACGATTTTGTGTTTTAATATGGCAGGAAAAAATACAGAAAAATGGGGAAGAAATTGAGTATACAGAGTGAGTAAAAACAAGGAAACCCAAATGGCTGTACCTATTTATTTTAGTGAAGTTCTGCATGTAGCATTATCAAAATCTAGGATATGAAAGCCCAGTTAATAAGCTTTCTTTTAGTATAAGAATCATTCAAATTACTCATGTACTTTTCCAGTTACGGAATTTTAAACACAACCACCACTTTAAAGTTCTGTCCATGGATCACAAAAAAGACAAGTACAAGTGTTCTTTCAGCCAAACAAAAACAATTCACATAGGGGACGTGTGAATTGTCTTTGTTTTGCTAAAAGATTACACACCTTTTTTGTTATGCGTGGACAGAACTTTAAAACGGTGGTTGTGTTTAAAATTCCATAACTGGAAAAGTACACAAGTGATTTGAATGATTCTTGTACTAAAAGAAAGCTTATTAATTGGGCTTTCATATCCTAGATTTTGAAAGTGCTACATGCAGAACTTTATAAAGAAAAATGGTCCTACCATTTTGGTTTTCTTTTTTTCACTCACCCTGTAGTGTATGGGGGTGGGGCCAGATTAAGGTTTTCAAGGGGTAATAAAATATAATGGAAAGAAAAGAATGAAAAATCTAGGTGGGAAAATGGAAATTCCTTGAAGAGGGAAAGGAAATGGAATTGTTAAAAACTTTTGTGATTTTTTTTTATGCAGACAGGAATGTCAGAAGCAGAGAAGGAACACGAGAAGAAGAACAACCAGCTGCTGAAAGTCAAGTGTCAAAAAGAGGTCAATAAATGAGCCATGATTTCTGCTCCTTCTTTTTAACAGATTTTACAATAAAATGAACAACATCAAATGGCCCATTTCGTCGGGTGCCTGGAAGAAGGTCGTAAGGGCGAAAAATGGGTCAAAAGGTCAAATTCGAATTTTTCGGGTAATCGATAGAGCTTGGAAATACTTTCATTTGATATACAAACTGTCTCAAGGGGCTACGTCATTCTGTCGTAATTAACTGTAAACAAAAGACGGAAGAAGGTTTTTCATTATTTGTGCTCGGCAAAAGGTTCATCAGTCAAAATTTCAACCTTATGTGATTTTTAATCTAGAAATTGCAGCACAAAACCTTTCAATTTGATTATCTCCAAAAGTGCTTTTTGCGTGCCTGGGCTGCTTACGATCTTTTCCTTGTCACGAGACGATTTGACCCCAATTGATAAAAATTGTTGGAAGTTTCTGTAGCTCATGCTCTTCAAGATATCCAATTTATGGTGTCCAATTTAGATGCAAGTTTTTTTAAGTTTAATTTTGAAGTGTTTTCACTCTGTTTAAAACTAGGTGAATGGGCTCGCCCAGACGATGCGCGACAACACGGACAGTACGCAGCTACCCCTACCAGTCAACGATACAGATCTAGACCACAGGTAACGAAAACAAAACCAAGGCATAGCCCATAACCATAGAGCTACGTTAATAGTGTGCTAATTCGGACCTAGACCACAGGTAGCGAAAAGAAAACCAACGCATAGCCCATAACCATAGAGCTACGTTAATAGTGTGCTAATTCGGACTGAGACCACAGGTAGCGAAAACAAAACCAACGCATAGCCCATAACCATAGAGCTACGTTAATAGTGTGCTAATTCGGACTGAGACCACAGGTAGCAAAAACAAAACCAACGCATAACCCATAACTATAGAGCTACGTTAATAGTGTGCTAATTCGGACCTAGACCACAGGTAGCGAAAACAAAACCAACGCATAACCCATAACTATAGAGCTACGTTAATAGTGTGCTAATTCGGACCTAGACCACAGGTAGCGAAAACAAAACCAACACATAACCCATAAGGCCAAAAAAAAAAGTCTCCGGTTTCTGGTATGCGCGCGCGTCGCCGTAGCCATGCGCGTCGGCAAAATGAAAAAGGTTTTTTTTAATGAAAGATGATGTCTCAAAACCGCCAAACTCACTGGTTTGACTGGAATTCTGCTGCTGCGCAATTTCAACGTGTTTTTAGATGGGGTTATGATCGAGAATAAGCTTTATGTGGCCTCTCTGGACTCCCATATATTTGCACTAAGTTTAGTCAGGCACCATTTGCAGTCATCAGCCGACATTTGAAGCAAAAAAGTCGGGTAAAAAAAAAAAAAGCCGCGTCGCCGCACCACTTTTTGGACAAGCTCCATACCAGAAACCGGATACTTTTTTTTGTTGGCCTAACTATAGAGCTACGTTAATAGTGTACTAATCCTTATGGCATAGAATACTGTCTGAAGCGTCTTGGCGCAGTCATTTTGAGTTCATGTGCGTGTCTCTAGAACATCCCCAAATCACATGAAATTGAAGTTGCATGAAGTGCAACGTTAACGCACAGCACTAAACATGGCCAACATAGGTGTACTATCATCAGAATGGCCCATGAGCTCCGTGCGCTACCAAAAGAGGGCGTTCTTTTACCTAGCAACGACGTCCCATGGGCGGTACATTTCGCTGGTTGATGCGCATCGTTCCTTGTGTGTGACGCGCGTACACCCAACTGTACTTCCTTTGCCGGTGAGGGGGTACTTGTGAACGGAGCAGATAGGGCAGCATGTGCATTGTTGTTAGCCCAGAAACAACCATAAGATGCGTTTTAACTCCTGGTGTATTGGTTTCGATAATGCACATTTTTAAAAGCCAAATGCAGATATGTCAATAGCTATAACAAAAATGCCTTACATAATTTCAAGCTCTTTGTATGCACAAACTTGGATGCACTGAGCATGCTACTTTGCGCCATGGCGAGTTGGCACTGTAGGAATATAATATAGCTCTATGAACCAAACCCACTGTTGTAAACATTTTTTAAAAATCTGTTATTTATGAACACTTGGTGAAACTGAGGTGCAATAATGTTCGAAGCAAAACAATTATTGAAAAGTAAGACTTTCCCCTTAAATGTAAATACTTACATTGTTCAAACATCTGAATTTTACTTTTCAACGGATGCAAGCCTTGTAAAAAAAAATCCTGAAAAACTGTGTAAATTGTTTTATTAATTTTTGGGAACTTAACTTTTTGCTCTCATTTTTGTGCAGGCTCACCCAAGAAGCCACGAGGGCAAAGTCTCTCTTTAAGGAGTTACTGGTGAGTTTAATTTGAAATTAGAATCGAAAGTTTTCCTGTTTTTTTACTCCCGTACTTTTATTTTTGATACTTCGTTGCCCTTTTCTACAGGGAGCCCCTGGTTTTGAGCCTGATGTTGTTGTTCGGACACGCAAAACATTCCCCCTTCATTTTAATAATAATAATAATAATAGCAAACATTTTTCCCCCGTTTAATACTACGTTTCTAAGCGCTATATGATGCTATTGTCCTTGTAGACTATTAGGTGAAACAAGGGCAACCGCACCAAATACAAAGAACAGAATTACAGGTAGAAGACACTAACTGACATGGAGTGTACAAACATAAAGTTGCCAAAATACAAAGGAAACTAACAGAAAACAACATAAATTTTGTGTGGACCAAGTAGGGTAGGTCACCAACGCGCCGCTCGGCAGTTTTGGGGGCAAGAATGTTAAAACATAGATTCAGGTTCTCAAAAAAATCTCAAAATATCATAAAACTCTTGAAAATATCTAAATTCATTGGTGTGGAAAGAAAGCTGAAAATGTATTGAAATCCTTATTTGTTGATGAAGCCATGAATATGTGTTATTCATAACATTTTAGTCTTCAAATTTGTTTACTTTTCGTTTTCTTCGGGCAAAAAAAGAACTACCAACTGTAAAAAGTTATGTGTGCAATGTTGTGAAATCACGTTTAAAAAAAAAAAAAAAAAAATTGTCCCTCCCTATTTTACTCTTTCCAGGATGACTTTTCCTCCATGCCGGCTTACGACGACTGTCTGATGCAGCTGCAGCGGCTGATCCACGCCGTGTGTGGACAGCGCAGGCAGGAAAACATGGAGGCCTACTCCAGAGAGGTCAAGGGTCATTCATTTGCATATTCAGTTTGTGCAGGTCAAATGTCTCCAGATTTTCTGGAACTTAATTTAGGCTTCAATGTTTAGATTTGCCCTGCTGGATCAAAACAATAATCTACATGGGTGAGATATTCTCACAATTTTCCCTGATATTTAGGGAATTTTCAGGATTTTTAAACAACCCTTTTATAATTTGGAATCTGTGAAGACAAAAAAAGGTTTTGTAAGTAAAAAAAAAATGTAAACATAAACCGACTAATAACTCAGAAATGTTCATAAAGGCATATAGGATCATTTATTTGCTTTTCATGCATTTTGTTCATTTTTAATTGTGACACCACTCAAAACCCAGTTTCGTCATTAGCACTCTCTTATTCTAAAAATCGGTTGATTGATCGTTGAAAATCACCTTCATTTATTGATTTCTTCGAAAATGACCGCAAACCAGATGGAATAATTTCACCGGGCGTTTAGTACCAGTACGATCTTTAATCCAAGCAAGCTTTGATAATAATTTGGTAGGTTACTTTTGGCATAAATTCAAATGATCCTATATATGCCTAAGTTGCCAACACTACACAACTTTTGTGTGTATATAGCACCTGACATGTTAATTTCTTGAAGAATGATTTATTATGTGAAAACTCTAGTAGCTTATAACTGAAGTATGTAATAATACCGGAGTCATATACAGCGCACATATCTACCAACAATTAGGTATTCAAGGCGCTGATAATTATGTCTATTTTTTTTAAATATAGGTAAATCAAGTTTATGAGAAATGTGAGACCATTATGTAGCACCTTTATAAAGAGTTTGCAAGGTGCTGTGGATATTGCAGCCACCGCCAGAAACACCGGGGCAAACCCCTTCTCTTAGCGATAAGTGTTACTGGGTTCTTCAACGTGCATTACAAAACACCCGAGACCTACGGTTTTACGTCCCATCCGAAGGACGAAGCAATAATGGTAAAGTGCCTTGCTCAAGAGCACAAGCACCATGTTCCCTGTCAGGATTCGAACCCATGTACCACGGCACACGAGTCGAACACCATAACCATTGGACCACAGCACCCCCACTTTTGTCATGGTTCATTGCTTCGAAATGTTGAAGTGCATCTTAATTTCAGCCGTTTTGTTTGTTTGTTCGTAGGTCGAGGTACCACTCCAGTCAGCAAAGAAAGTTGCCCTGCTGTCCGCGGACCGATACGATACCGTGTTTAGTCTAACCACTTTTGTGAGTTGGCTAGTCACGTTAATTTGTGTTGATGACTTGATGCGATGATCTTTAAACTTCCAAGGGAGATGGGGGCGGGGGAGGAGTTAGGCTGGACACTATTTGACACCAGGTGGCGCTCTTCGTAATAAAATCTTGTATGCAAATGTGCATACATATTGCGAGCATGCATGCTTTACGTCCATTAATGGTGTTTAAGTTGTGCTGTTTGTTTAAAATGTCCATGAAATGAATTTTTCTGAGGAACACATTTTATGCAACTTTCTACTCCTCGTAAATGTATGAAAACTATTTGACATGCCTTTTTGGTTAATGTTATTCAAAGGTGCACTTCTTAAATGTTTGTAATTGTCCATGCTTTTCCAGACAACTGAGGGCGCTGTTGCTGTCATTTCAGGAAGACACTGTTCAGTTTTGTTTTCTGTTCAAATGTGAACCCAAAAATCTGCTATTGAAAACATTTGTGAGAAAAGTTTGCTCACTGGCTTGCTGCCATGTACTGACACAACGAATCACTCAAAGAAAAGAAAATTTTCAACAGCAAAATATCAAAATTCTGGTAACTTTTTGTGCTTAAATAGTTGTGACATTGAGGTTTCCGCCTGAAATGGCATCACACTTTTGCTCATGAATATGGAAATTGGCATTAGCATAATTAGGCACCAAAATACCCTTGAAAAAATGGTAAAACGAAAATTGAAAATAAGGCTAAATGGGATACAAATGTGATGCAATCAAGATAAATGAGTTGTTTGTCGGGAATTTTCATTTGGAGATTCAGGCCAAAATAGGGCCACTTCATCACATTACTTCATCACATCTCTTGGTGTTCTGACTTCCATAATTTTTTGAACTAAAGATGGTATCAGCATGCGGTTTTCACAGCAGTAATGCTAAAGATAGTGCTCTTTTCAAATCTGTAAACAAACAAAAAATTTACCAGAGTCGACAAACGACTCATTTTCATGGATTGCACTAAAAAAAATTAAGTTGCATGGGCCCTTTAACTAAATTTAACTTGAAGATTTTTTCATTCAGCACAAAAATCTGATGGGGGGGGGGGGAGAAAATGGGGGGTGATGATCTGTGGCCCCCCCTCCCCGCCCCGCCCCCCCCCCCCCCCTTGTCAAAAAGTGGGGGTAGCCGTGGGTTATAATGATAATTGTATTTATATAGCGCCTTTTGCCAGAGGATACAAAGCGCTGGGGAAGAATGCAACCAAAGACTGGTAAAGGAAGTATATGAACATAATATGAGACCCATTATGTAGCACCTTTTTGATAGGTGCTGCGGCGCATAATTGCTGCCACTTCCAGAAACACCGGGGCAAACCCCTTCTCTTAGCGACAAGTGTATACTGGGTTCTTTAACGTGCATTGCACAACAAACGGCTTTACGTCCCATCTGAAGGACGAAGCAATAATGGTAAAGTGCCTTGCTCAAGAGCACAAGCACCATGTTCCCACGGTCAGGATTCGAACCCATGTACCACGGCACACAAGTCGAACACCGTAACCATTGGACCACAGCACCCCACATGCTCCCCCTCCAGGATTTACGGTCTTGGAAGTCAGTACTACTTTCTTGTGGTGCATTTATTCTTTACTTGTTGAAATACTTGAATAACCTATGTATCTTTCTTCGTTTTTTATCGTTCCACTCGCAGATTCGCGAGGTGTGCATGTTGAACCTGGACGAGGGTAAGCCCAAGCACTGGCCCCCCGACCTCAAGGCTAACATTGTTGACCTCTTCATGAACTCTGACCCGGACATTCGACGCATCATCAAAGCGCGGGAGGGCCTGTGGTCCACATTGGTGGGATTTATTCAGTGGATCATGTGGATTTTCAGCTGAAATACTGTGTGCTTTAAACTATATAGCCTTTCAACGGCAGTACTTTTGCTGGTAACAGTGGGCCAGTGTGGTGTTCTAACTGACTGACGGACTGCGTATGTGAATCTTCTGAAGTTTCTGTTGTTTATTGTAATAAAAAGTCCATTTGTTTGAGAGTTATAAACTTTAACCCTAAAAGGGCCAGGTTATTTTGACAATCACTCAGCGTTTTTTTTTTTTTTTGGGGGGGGGATTTCCCACCCCCCCCCCCAAGATCTCGGCCATCGAGTGACTAAAAATTATGAAACTCAATACATGCATAGGACAACTTGTAATGAACATACCCAAGAAATTTCATGACCATAGGTCAAAGGGTTTTGGAATTATGTCTAATTAATTATTCATATGCACAAATGGTAATTCTGCTTTGTTTACACTATGTTTACGGGGAAATTTAGTGTCATGGCACGTAGCGCTGGAATATATTTCGCTGCACGGCAACCCGTGGTCTGAATTTTATGTTTTTGGTATCAAAAGATGCGCAAGGCTCAAGGCTAAAAAGTCACAACAGCTCGGGTCGCGAAACAATTTTTTTCAAGTCTATCGAGGAAAAGTTGAAGGGGGGGGGGTGGATTTTGGCCCCCCCCCAGCCCTTTCAGGGTTAACTTTCCTTAATAGAACAAGCTTAATCGGATCTTGGAAGTTAATGCGGGCCCACAAATTTGTGTTCATGCACGAATCACGTGATGTAATTTCTCTGGAAGGAGTAGTGTTTTAAGTAAAAGATCAGGTTTGGTTGAAATCGGTCAAAGGATGTAGGAGCATTAGACCATGTCAATGTTTGTGACCAACTAATGGAAAGACATGATGATTTGTTGAGCCGCTACCCGCAGCTAAAAAGTTTAAAAAGAATTTGTTTAAAATTTAAAATTGCCATAATTTATTTATCGCTCTTTATGTTGTTTGTAAAATAATGTATATTTTGGTTCCATAACGAAGAAATTTGTTCAATCAGATTTTTATTTTTCTAATTAGACTTAATTTTTCTATGGCTGATTACGTAAACATACATTTCAGTAATTAAGAGTTTTGTTTATGCAACAAACTAACAAAATGTGTGATGACTTATTTTGTAAAGTAGACAGTTTTCAAGATTTGATGAAAGCTTTGACGAATATAGAGTGAATTGTTTGTATTTCAAGTGAAATGTTTGTGTTTTTCCTTGTGTATTTGGCATTTACTTTGTATCATTCGCTGATGTATTTCCCTGATTTGTTTTGCATTTTTTCCCACTTAAAGATGTGATAAGGTACTGAATGACAACTAGGGGCATATCGCTATTGTAATTCTTCTTCAGTTGATGCATATTTTGTAATACATTTTGCTAAAATGATTAAAAACTAAATTGTATTCCAAACGTCAGTATCGAGACATAACTTTTTGTAACAAAATAGTGTTTTTCACAATTATTTAAAATTGTCAAGTTTTGTGCGCGTCCCTGAATAAAATATGATGCTGTGTAGATTTAAATGTAAGATTTATAAGAATTTCTGTGTCAATTTCCAGAAGAAAAAAACGTAGTGAGGGTCAATTCTTCTAAATGTAAGTTGAGCTACCCGGTAACTTGGCCACCTGTTTTCAATCAATTATAGACCGCTGCGCGCGAAACTGCGAATACTCCCCCCACGAATAGTCGGACATCCTGATCCCAATGGCTGTCTTCTGATAGGATTTGGCGTCTGGGTTTAAAACCTTTTACGTCACTCTTCTGAGTGAAACTTTTAAAACTTTGTGTCATGCAGTTCGTACCTCATTTTCAGTGACACATTTTGAAAAGCACTAATTTTATTTTTGGAAACAAACATCAAATTTTGGAAAAATCACTGGAAACATTGGTGAAATTGGTGGAAAAATTGGAAATTGTGAACAAATTTAAACGCTTTTTCATTCATTACCAAACTATCATGAACTACACGTTCTAATTGCTCTTCACACTGTCAACAACTTCTTGTCATCTCCCAGCTTCCATCGCTGTCGTTGTTCACGGTATAACTTCCTTCCGTATTTGGGATGAAATATCCCGTCACCTTTTCACGATTTTCTACTATGGATGCTGGTGGGTGAAAGAGTCAAGATGAGTGCAGAATCAGAACAGGTTAGTAGGAAATGATGTGGGTGATTTTGCAGGAAATTTTGACGATTTTTTTAGGTCACCGTCCGAATGTGTCCGCACAGTTTCACGCTTGCGAGTTGTGTACTGTAGCCAATGTATTTACGCACGGTTGACGCGCTTGCATTTCACAGCCATGACAGCATGCACCACACACAGTTCACTTTTGCACTTTTGACCTTGGGCGTATGAACTGGAGCATGCAACTCGTAAAACTTTTAGTTTCATTGTATTAATTCTATTATTCCATATTTGTCCAAAATAATCATCGGTCACTCAGTGTCAGTGACATACAACATGTACAATACATTGTTACTTGTAAAGTTGTAGTTAGGTTTGTTCTTATCTAAGTTAATATTAATAATAAATTAGTACGTTGCTTTATTTTCGTCTCAAACAGAAAGTAAATTTATGTTGAAATGAATATGAAAAGGCAGTGGATAAAAATCATTTATTTGACCGGCACTCCATGGTTTCAGCTTGTTAGTTTTTAGGCGATTGTGTAGTTATGGGCCCTGTTCCCATAATAGAACAAAAATGGTTATTTGACTTACCAAACGACAAATTTAAATTAGCAAAATTTAAAACCAACAGGAGAGTCGTGGTTAGAGAGGGAATTAAGGCTTTGATTGTTCGAGGGGATTTTTTGGTGTAAAACGACGCGGAAGCCGACAAAAGGGAACACAAAAATGAAGATACATGTAGGAATGACCGCAAGGCACTGTGAATGCGCCAATCCCTGTTGATCGCATGCGGAATGGCATCAACTATAGTCTATTTACTGAATAAGAACGCGCATTTTCCACCTGAACATTCTGTTCAAAATTCAAAAAAATAGTGTCATTAACATCTGCTTATTAAGTCATTTTGGTGATCAAAAGCACTCTTGACTCAAACTTGGCCAAAACAAAGGAGGGGCCCGTAGCTACACAATTGCCAAGTATTTTTTTTTTAGCAAACTAACATTTAGCTAAAACGCCGGCTTAGCCAATATGATATAATGTATAATCAGAGAAAGGCCTATATGTGGGGTGCTGTGGTCCAGTGGGGTGCTGTGGTCCAGTGGGGTGCTGTGGTCCAATGGTTACGGTGTTCGACTCGTGTGCTGTGGTACACGGGTTCGAATCCTGACCGTGGGAACATGGTGCTTGTGCTCTTGAGCAAGGCACTTTACCACTATTGCTTCGTCCTTCAGATGGGACGCAAAGCCGTAGGTCCCTTGTGTTGTGTAATGCACGTTAAAGAACCCAGTAACACTTGTCGCTAAGAGAAGGGGTTCGCCCCGGTGTTTCTGGCAGTGGCCGCAGCACCTTGTAAGCCCTGGTGCCACATAATGGGTCTCATATCTCTCATGTACTTCATTCATCTAACAATAGACATAACTCCCAGTGCCTTGAGTACCTCAGTACTCCGTTGCGATAATGCCTGAATAGGTTTCTGCAACGTAGCCATACAGATACAGACAGATACAGACAGATGAAAATTTACTAAATTTCCGGCCAACTATCCACTGCCGTTAACAAAACGTCAATCATATGAATGTTAATTAAACAAGAAGTTTGTTCCATTGTCAGTGAGGTAATTTTTAAATCTCCAATGGGAAAGAAGGGTTTGAAAAAGTGTGAATTAAAACGTGTTCGTTTTATATCAAACAGTTTTTAAATAATGTCAAACTGAAATGAATAATTATGATTGTGGTTGAAGGATGTGGAACATCTAAAACAAATTCTCAGAAATTATCCGAAAAATTACAAAATTTAGTTTGAGTCCGCAAAAGTCAATTCTTTCAAACACCCCCATCCACTTTCGGTTTTGTACTTGACCAGATGTATTTGTTTAACAGTTGAACAGTGTTGATATAAGTGCATTGTACAAATAGTGACTAATATCTGTTTATAAAAATTAAGAAACTGAAGAAAAAAAAATATATTTTTTATTTTTTCATCAGAACAAGGAAGACACTGCCATATATAAAGTCAAACAATTTCCAAGTTTGTGCAAAGCCAAGAAGTACATTGTTGTAACCATGAATCACAGGCTTTCACTTTTGAGAAGGAAATAAAAATGCGGTCTGTGTCTGTGAATGTGTCATTCTTTGCCAGTCGCACTGTTTTGTGAGCTAATGTATGTCGTTTAAATCAATGTTTTATTGGCAAAATGTATGTCTGGCATCACAATAAATATGTGGCAGCTTATAGATTCAACGTTTGATGGAAAATGTCCAGTCTTGTCTACTTTAAAACAGCTCCCCCATTGGTCAGATGGTGTCAAGTCCTCCCCCCCCCCCCCTCACCCTTCACCCACACCTTCCCCCTTTTTTTGGTTTTTGCGGCAACTGGGTGACCAGAACAAAATCCACAATGCTACAGTGTTGAATTCGGCAAATGTTTTGTAACCCCCCCCCCCCCCCCACCCTTTCAAATTGGTCTGGTGGCTTCGTGAAAACTGTGCATGAAATATTGCCGATAAGAGCGACCAGCTGAATTGCCTTGGGCAGCACTTGACACTTATGCACTGGTGGTCTTTGTAATGAATCAGCAAAGATTAGATTTAATAAAATGGTGTTGACTTTATTTGGGTCGTAAAAATTGGAATTGCCCATTTGAACTGTAGGCGGGTTTATTTATAGAATCGATATTGAGTTAAACTTCAAATGAAGCATGCATCTTTGTCATGTTTGTGGTACTGTCATGTTTTCACTATAACTACCGGTACATGTAAAACTGATCTAAGATATATTTGTCAAAGAAAAACTTTATCTGCAGTAATTGTTAAGAAAGTTTCATACGTACATGTCTGCATGTACATGTACATATACATGCACACACATGTTTTACTATACTCTCGAGGACAATGCTTTGTGTTTCCCTTTGTCCCTGTAATAGTACTCTCCCATAGACTAAGCACACAACCATACAATAGAGGACCGTTTCCAACAAAAGACCCAACGCCCGAGGACTGAAACATGTCTGCACATACATGTCTGCACATGTGTCTGTACATGTATGCACATGTACATGTGTGCACATGTACATGTACATGTATGTACATGTATGCGCATATACATGTATGTACATGTATGCACATGTACATGTTCATGTACCCGCTTATTTTTGTATGATTTCCATAAGATGTAAATAATGTTAATACAGGCCATGGTGTAAACACTAGATAATGTACGATTTACATGTGCATCATGTGTACGTGTATGTCACTTGTGGCTTATTCTGGTGTGGGACAAACTATGTACAACATGTACAAGGCTATTCTACGGTACCTCCATGCTTACATCATACCGGTACGTGTCATGTTACGACTACATACATGTACATGTACCGGTACACCACACGTGCGATAGCCTGGCATCTCTTGTTTCATATGTACTTTCGATACTTTTGTAGGCAATAAGTCAAATCTTTCATGTGAACGGCGAAAGTCCATTGTTCATTTCCATCGCATTACCACTACAACTCATTCTACAATGTACAAAACTTTTTTTCACCATTCTGAAATAATTGAATAGAATTTTGTGCACACTGGGACCGGCTTTACTAGGCTTGCCGTGCGAAAACCACTCGGCCGTTCCGGTCATAGAAAGCACCAGACTCTTAATTAAATTGTAAATTCTACCCCTTCTAAAAAAAAAGTCTGTAAAGGTCACTTAACGTCCAAGGCTTTTGACTTAAAAAGCCTTGAAACACAAATTCCCCAAAAATCAATATTGTGGCAAGGGCAGAGTCTCTAAGAACATTATTTGGCATTCACTACAGATGTGTACTATACGTATAGGTTTTCACCCAATGCCCTTGCACACTGTTAAAAGATCAATATGTGTACACCTTGAAGTAGCATGCATAAATAGTTCAGCAGTACACATTGTTGATCAGAAGCATTTAATCATTGTGAATGTGCAGTACTGACAGAAAATTGGAATTTACTTTAAGGAGAAAGAAGATTCTTTAGGTTAATTTTTGGTGAGTGAACCATTTTTTTAACATTTTTTTTAGATTTTCAATTAAGCGACAAAGGGAATAGACTTAGGTTCATTATAATAATTTAAAGTTAAACAAAGAAATTGACCGGAGCGGGGTTTGAACCTGAGACCTCTGGATTGCCGTTCCGGTGCTCTACCAACTGAGCTATGCAGCTAGCCCTACCGTAAGTTGGTGGTTCCCAATTTTTTTCCTGATCTTTAAATTTTCTTTGACACAAATTGTAAGGTTGGACATACCGGTACATTGTTGAATAAACTAAGTAAATGTTTTGACTTGTGTGACATGGAATTAAAGGGAATATTACAACATAATTTGCAAACATCGAAAAATAAAACTACCAAGTTTTTACAAAATACCTTACTAGGATGTTGGTAAATGACAGTCTAAAGCATCCTGTAAAATTATGGCACCTGGTGTGAAGTCATTTTCAAGAAAATAGTATTTTTGTATACATTTCCAACGGTGGTCGGCCGACCACCGTTGGAAAAACCTAACTATTTTTCAACTACTGCTCCAACTTTACACTTTTTTTCAGTCCAAATTTTGTTTGCTATTGGTTACATGTATATGTTCATGAACGGGTGCAGGCCAGCTAGACTGGTTCCCTTACCATACAATTGGCATCTATAACTTGATCCATTTTATATTTAGTGGAGTCAAGGAACCAGACTACTTGATCATTTTTGTTTTTCTTGGTTTTTTTTTCAGCATTTTCGAACACAAAACTTCAAACATGTCAGTGTAACAATATTTTATCTATTAGGCCTATACTAACCCCTCAAATAGTTCATTTCTGAAAATTACAGCAAAAGCCAATGATGTACATTCCCTTTAACTTATGAGAATCAGTGTATATGTATTGGAATGAAATTAATTAATTAATTTCAAAACATCCCAACAATGATATTGCTAACAGAAACACTCAATAGTTAAACAAGTGAACCACCACAAATTTTCAGAAAGGGATAATTTTCTCAGTGACAATAGGCCAAAAGATTTGTGTATATATACATTGTACACTGACACCCTAAAAATTATCCATGGATGTTAAGTACATGTAGGAATTTTTTTTTATCGTGTAACCTTTTTTTATATTTGTCTGTCAGTCTTAGTACTTACTTTGTTTACTTTTACGTCAGTATCATTTTTAATGGTATTCTATTTAATTAACCTGTTGAATTGCACAATAACACAAAATAACCTTGCATAGAAAAGACTTGTTTATTTTCAAAATGTACAGTTTATGTAAATTTTTTGGCCAAATGCGACAATAAAAAGTTTGATGTCGGCAATTTGGTCACAAAATCGAGGCAGGTTTTTTTTTTCCGGCCTTAAGAAATGAGATGACCTTAAAAAGAGTATTACTTTTATTTGGAAAAGAAAAACTTTGAATAGGCCCCTAAATATTTTGTTTTCTTCTTTGTAATTTTTTTGTAAATCTATGATTTCTCCAAACATTTCAACTCTCTATAACACCAGAATCAGTGTCAATAAAAAAAAAAAATTGGGTGTACAACTGCAGATAAAAAAAATGGTATACATGTATACTGTTCAAGGTAGAAATTGTGCTGGTGAAAAAACGTAAGATTTTTCCCAAAAATATTACTTTCATTTATAGAATTTCTTTTTTTCATGTTAGAAATACCATAGTTAACGTATGTTTCTGAGCAATTATCTTAATGGTTGTCAAAGCAAAGCACATTTATGCAAATGCTGCAGCTACGATAACGTATATCCTGTCCTAATCTGGCTCAGTATATAGTGTGACGCGGTGACTGCCCCCGCTGCATGCCCGGCCAGCCCGACTCAGGATACTAAGGGGGGAAATGAGACTCATTTCTGGCACGTGTCGTAATCCTGTTTCCTTATTGGCTGTGGGTGTGGAGTCACTGGGTCCTGCTTGCACGGTACGTGTGATACATGATCTGTTTTCGGAGGGGAAACAGTAAGAGTCACTACCCCGTAACGAGCAGCATGGAAATTTACTGCTCTAGTCATTGCTGGATATAACTGAACAGTTGCTGAGCACAGCTTGCGCACAGTCGGTGCCTTTGCCAAGTCTTCCTACAGCCGTATGCTTTCCTGCGAACTATTGACAGAAACCAATTTTCGCTTCGATTGGAACTCATTTTAAATTGAGAGATATTGTTTGAAATGCTTGTTTTTTTGGAGTCCCATTTTGAAGTTGAAAGGGAAAACTACATTGTACGTGAACACGAATGTTGAACGAGTGTTCTAATGGTGGATAAAATGCTTTCGTTCGGACTTGGAGTGTGCATAACCAGCAAATGACGTGATCTTTTCATTTTGCGTGGATTTCTGTTGACTACTCATGTATCACTGACTCTGTGGAGGGAATTCGTGATCTTTTTTTTTTTTACGTCTTCCGTTGGGAAGTCCGGGAAATGGGACAGACCCAATCCAAGGAGGACTTTTCACCCGAGTTGTATCTCCGAATGAATAGCACCCGCGCATTCAGGGCGTCATGGTTGAGAAAAGTGAGTATTAATCACGTGTTTCAATCTCCAAATCTTCCAGAATTATACACCAGAGTGACCGATTTCATAACAGCAGAAAATATCGCTTAGCAAATTTGTGTGGTAAGCAAAAAAAATCAGCTGGTAACCACTCAGAAGTATGCATTGCATAGCATTTTAGGGTGGTGACCTGTAACTGCTAAGCAAATACTTGATGTGACTGCTTAGCAGATTTCTGTGCTTGGCAGTTCCATGAAGGTTGGACAAAATAATGTGCATTATTTTGATGGATTCAAGACTATACAGCCATAAAGTGCTCATTTGTAAAGCACAATGTATTACAGTGTAATACAATGTACATGTATACAATGTATCACAAGGTATAACAGTTTAATACAGTGTACCATAACATACCGGTACAGTGGGCACTGGGTAAATACATTGTACGCAGTTTACAATCTGAAACTGCAGTTTAGTTTTGATTGTTCTAGTGCAAACGGTTTTGTTTGCAGGGACCCAGAATTGTGTCACCTACATGTACATTGTGTCACTAAACATTCATTCGTGGAATTTAAATCTGAATTATTTTTAAGGAATTGTAAGATTTTATTTAACTTAAAATCAGTCACCATAATCAAGTCAGTCACTTTATATGCTGATTTGAAAAAAAAATATTGATAACAATTAACAGTTTGTACAAATGTACGTCTGTTTCGGTTGGAGAATTTCTCTTTTTGATTTTCAGAATCTTCAAAATTCTGACTAGTGTTTGAAGGATCAGCACTCAGCAGGTCTGACAGTGTTGAACAATTTTGTCTAAGGTTTACTGACTCATTTCGCTTCTTGGAAAATTCTTCAAACTTTTATTTGTGTAACCATGGTGTAACACTGTGGCTCTGACTCTGTGTGTGTAATTGCAATTCAGGGGTAAGTCCAACCCTTTTCGTACCGTATCATGTGTGCAAAACCACAAGATAAGTTCATTGTGCATATCTGGTACAAGTCAGAAAATTTCAGGTCACTCCAGAAGAGGTTTGTACTAGCAGTGCAGTGTTGCGTCATACTGAACCCTCTGTTTAATGTTATCATTACCTTGCTGCAAGGCTGGTGATCTAGACTCTGAATTGTAAAAACTTTGTACCATACAAGCACACTGTACAAACTACGATTTAAAGGGAAGATACAACATTTGCAAACAGCACAAAACGAAATGATCAAATAATCACGAAATACCTCACTAGATTGTTAGGGAATGACAGTATAAAGCAGCCTGTAAAATTGTGGCTCCTGGTGTGCTGTAATTTTCAAGAAAAATGGTATTTTTCAAAAAGTGCTCCTAAGTTTTCATAATACGGGCGATTCACAATAGTGCGCCTCCAAGAGTTTGCAATGCGTTGGCCAATCACAATGCGCGAAATCAGTCGACCTTTTCCAAACGCGAATTGGGTCGACAGATTTTGCGCATTGTGATAGGCCAACGCGTTGCAAACTCTTGGAGGCGCACTATTGTGAATCGCCCGTATTAGTTATTCGGCATTTTCTTTGCAATTGATTATACACACCTGTGAAGGGGTGCAAACCCGTTTCATCTAAAGTGGAGTCCGGGAACCAGACTACCGGTACAAACATGATTGGTTTTCACGTTTTTTCCAGCATCTACAAGCCCAAAACGTGAAACAAGTCATTTCAACAATATTTGCTATACACTAATCCTCCAAATCCATTTATTTCTGAAACTTGAAGCAAAAGCAAATGTTGTACATAATATTCCCTTTAAGTGTGTATGTACAATGTATGGTGTTAAGTCACACATCATAAATCGTGGAAATGTTGTGTTTTTAGATTGTTTACTCATCCTATTTCAAAGATCTGTTTGAGAGAAAACTATGTTGCAGTGTACCTGAGAAAAGGACAAAAACCTGGTTTTCTACTTAGATTAGAACTGACGCTGCGGACGTTTAATGGCATACGTATTTCCAGCCGAAAATATAAGTTTCCTTGGACATCTTTCCCCCACGTTCTGTCAGACGACGGATTCAATGTATGGTAGAGGTCATGTGTGTGTGTGTGTGCACATAATGTACAAGTGCACTTAGCACTAATACACAGTCCACGATGTTTCACAACTATCACCAAACAGATCAGTGTTCGAGAGTCAAACATTTTGACCCCGGAATTCATTCTTGCAAGAATAACACAAAAACGAACAAGTTTTAAAGGATAGTTGTGTGGATGTTTATATTCTACCTTTAAATTTTCTTTCCACTAAAATCATATCGTTCAAAGGGAATATACAACATTTGCAAACATCGAAAAATAAAACTACCAAGTTTTTACGAAATACCTTACTAGGATGTTGGTAAATGACAGTCTCAAGCATCTTGTAAAATTATGGCACCTGGAGTCAGGGAACCAGACTACTTGAACATTTTTGTTTTTCTTGGTGTTTCCAACCTTTTCGAACACCAAACTTCAAAAATGTCAGTGTAGCAATATTTGATCTATTATACTAACCTCTCAAATAGTTCATTTCTGAAAATTACAGCAAAAGCCAATGATGTACATTCCCTTTAAACTGCATTTTGTAGGCCAATCGGGCATTTTCCAGGATGTACAGGAGTGCCCCTTTAATGATCTACAGACAGGCATTGTAAACTCACTCTTGAGTATTCTTGGGTTGAACTTTTAACTTACTTGGCTTATCTACACAAAAAGAAGGAGTTATCATTACCCTTGATTGTACATTGTACATGTACACTGTCAGCAAATATAGCAGATATTCCTGGCAGGAAGATAATAATACCTATTACCATTGTGATAAGACTGGTATGTTTGATGGCCGTTTTCTGACTATTTACTTTGTGTTCAGCTGGGATCAATCTAAACTGGTTTGGACCCTTAACTTTGTGGGGTCAAGATTTGGTCGCCTAGCAACCTGTAGGGAAACATGTGTGTTTTGAGTGATTGATAATATTTGACTTTCAAGGGCACAATATTTTGTGAGTGCTGGTTGTTGTAGTTGAAGCTGAGTGATCGAGCTGTGGATTATCGATTGAGTAATATTATTGATTGATTGATTGTATTGGCTCATTTGATCGATTGATCTGATTATTGGTTGCTCGATTGGTTTGTCAGGTATGTTTGTGTGTTTGTTGATTGGTTCATCAATTTGGTCGTTTGTTTTGTTGCCAGTTTTTTTGGTTGGTCAGTGGATTTGTTTGTTGGTCAATTGGTTGTTGGTCCATCAGGTTTTGAGGTCTGTTGGTTGGTCAGTTGGAAGGGTGGTTCATAGATTTGTTGGTTTGTGTGTTGGTTGTTGTTTTTTTGGTTGGTCGGTTGGTTGGTCAGCGGATTTGTTTGTTGGCCGTTTGGTTTGTTGGTTTGTTTGGTGGTGCGTTGGTGGTGGTCAGTAGGGTTGTTTGTTGTTTGGTCAGTGGGTTTGTTGCTTGTTTGTGGTTCAGTTGGTTGGTTGGTGGTTTTTTGTAGTGAATAGTTGGTCTGTTGGTTGGTTGTTTGTTGATCAGTTGGTTGGTTAGTCAGTCATTTTGTTGATCAGTTGGTTTGTTTGTTGGTCAGTTGGTTGGTTGGTCAGTCTGTTGTTTTTTGTAGTCAGTAGTTGGTCTGTTGGTTGGTTGTTTGCTGATCATGCAGTTGGTAGGTTGGTCAGTTAGTTTGTTGGTGTGTTTGGTTAAGGTCAGTTGGTTTGTTGATTTGTTGATCAGTTGGTTGGTTAGTCAGTCAGTCATTTTGTTGATCAGTTGGTTTGTCTGTTGGTCAGTTGGTTGGTCATGGTTGGTCAGGTGGTTACAAGATCAATCAGTTCTACAATTCTTTATAATGCCAGACTTTTACAAAAAAGACCTGACTTTTCCATAACCATCATGAATCCTCCAATTTGAATATGATTTGTCACACCCCTAGGGAGTGATGGTTAATGGTAAAAACTCCTTTTCAATAATGGTTGGCATGGTATACAACTATACAGTCCTGTAAAATATACTTAGTTCATTCTAGTTTTCTGAACATCTGGTATTCCTATCAGATGCAATGTACATGTATACACAGGAAGGATAGGTGGGCGTTTGTACTTGCAAGTGCTAGGTACTGATACATTGTACTATCCTAAACCCAATGCCAATTTGGCGCTGACACCAAGTTCCCAAATTAAAAGTCATAAAGGATCACGTGTTCCTTTCCAATAATAACACCACGCAAAACTCAAACAAGAATGTTCAAAACCTAAACCTGTCAAAGTTTCAGCTTCTTGGATATGGGCAATTCTTTGGTAACGGAATTACGGAATTTTGTCACTTTGTCAAGGATTATTCTTTCCCAAGAAAATATGTTCTATGCTAGGCAACTAATCTAAAAATGAAAAGGGAGCCAAGACCCAATAGAATTGATTGACCGCTAAAAAAAAAAAAACCCCACAAGATTACCCTTTAAGGGGCGGAGCTTAATATCGGTAACGGAATTACGGACGGAGGACAAGCATATTTGAGTTCTCGCATAAATTAATAAAACTCTCTGAAGTTTTGAAATTTTAAAATTGGACACTACCTGTTATTTGTAGAGTTCAGGGGTGTTGTTAACTACAATGCAGAACAAAGTTGAAAAAATAATCACTCTTTTCATAATTTGCATTTTAATCACGGTAACGGAATTACGCCTGGGCGGTAACGGAATTACGCCATAGCCCAGCTAACACATTTACGTTGTGACAACGTTGCAAAAAGGTCAGGTTTTCGTTGTTGCCACGTGAGGAAAATGACGTTGCGGCAACGTAAAAATGTTGACTCGCGTGCGCGTTGCTACAACGTTATCACGCAACGTTACAATGACGTTTCCACAACGTAAACGCAACATACATCACAACTTTTTTTGGTCGTGATTGCACATGATTACCACCTTGACGCCACGTTATTTGCGACCAAATTGACACATAACAGCAACTTCTACGCACGTTCCTACAACCTTTTGGCGACATGATTACCACTTGATTAGCACGTTACTGCAACCTA